CATATATATATATAAGTACTTGAAATATGAGTTTGTACAAGCAGATGTTTGAATTTTCATCCCATGCAGGCTTGAATTTTAGGTGGATTTAATTTTAGTTCCAGCTATTGTGTCATATTCATTTGCATGTATTAAGGGAGTAGCTGGGATGCTTTCCACATTTGTGTGATTTTGGCTAAATTAAAGTCTACCTAAAGTCAGTTGGATCCCTGGAACTTAACCAACTTACTGTCCTCTAAGTGTAAGTTTTAGAATAACTGTCCTTGTTGAATGTCATGCTCCTTTCTTAATGTGTTAAAGGGATTGAGTTAACACTTTGATTTTTCCCTTATAAATCTGATAGAGAGCCATTAAAGAATTTGATCTTCCTGTGCAAAAATCACATATATATGTTTTTGTTTTTGTGATAATCTGCCTTTGTGTAGGTTTATATAAATGCTTGCCGAGTAGAATTCAGTCTTCACTTATAAGTCTGAAAGCAGTATAAAAAACGAGATTAAGAACAGGGTTTTTGGACTCTCATAGACCTTGACTGAAATCTCAGACTCTCCAGTTCTTGATTCTATGACATTTATCATCTGTAAGATGATGTGATATTTACTCCAAGTGGTTCCTGAGGTTTAAAGCAAAAGGTTTGTAAAGGACAAGTTCCTCCTCCAAGATTTTGCTCAAGAGCCACCTTACTGAGGCCTTCCTTGGCCACCTTACCGCTGTAGCCTCCTAATCACACCCCAGCATTCCCAACCCCTTCCCTGCCATATGTGTCTCCATAATTCTTATCAGCACCAACATGCTGGGAATTTTTACTTATTGTTGTTTGTCTGTCTTTACTCATTGACTGTAAGCTCCATGGTTGTTAATTCAGAATGTCTGCACATTGAGTAGGAACTCAATAAAAACATGTTGAGTGAGTGAATTGCTTAGCACAATGCTTGGCATATAGTGAGAGCCCAACAAATCATTAATATTGAGAGTAACCAGTAGAACCATTTGCCACCAAGTGGACTCTGACCCATGACAACCCCATGTGTGTCTGAGTAGAACTGCTCTCCATAGGATTTTCAGTGACTGATTTTTTGGAAGTGGATCACCAGGCCTTTTTTCTGAGACATCTCTGGGTAGAGTCCAACTGCTAACTTTTCAGTTAGTATCCGAGTGTGTAACCGTTTTTGCCACCCAGGGACTCCTTAATACTGGAGTAATAAGAGAATAAAGAAGAATGAAAGGGGGGTATTTAAGCAGACGAGGTCATATGAACCCCAAGGATGAACCACAGATAAATCACTGTGTTCGTGTTCTTCTGGACTGGAAAGCAGTGCAATTACCATCTGCCCCTAATTTTTCAAAATTACCCTTATGGATAGATAAAAGGAATCAGATTTAGAGCCCCTCAAAAACAGACAAACAAAAAACAAAACAAAAGAATTTATGGGCTGTGTTTTATTTACCTTTTTAAGTGTATAAAAAGTATTGTGCCTGGAAGAAATACTTAAAAGGAAGCAGGAAACAGAAATTTCAAGCTATACTTGAAATACTAGCTGTCGTATACAAGAAGTATTGAACTCTCTTGGAAATTAGAAAGATCGTGGCACATCTGTTTCTCAACTTAAAAACAGAAAAGCTTGTCTACCTCCTTTAATGTTATTTGACATCTCAAGTAAGTTATCAATGCTAAAAGCAAATTAAACCAATAGGAATCTTGCAGATGCTTTTTAGACTGCTTCTTCTCCCTCCTCCACACAGGTTCTGATGTCCCCCTCTCACTTGCAATTTTAAGTCATACCTGGAAGTAAAAGATTAAACTTTTTCCAAAGATCTGAGACGTTTGGGCTAGAAAGAAATCTC